TTTAAGGAGAAAATATAATCTGCAAGTTGAGAAACATAAGACCGCAGGAAAAAGGAAGACTTTCTGACTTGGGAAAAAAGCCTCAATATAATTTAATACTACATCTTGACTAATTCCAGTGGACCGACAGAACTATTTCTAATTTACCATTATCTGTGCTTTGGGGACCTGCAGTTATCATAATGGCTGTGTCGCTGGATTCCCATGTAGTCAACTGCAGTTCGAGTCCCGGACCCAGTGGCTTAAACTCACGCTGGGCATGTGTGCATGCATGCCCAAGATCCTGAGAGGAGAATGGAGGAAAAGGGATTGCGATGTGGCCAATCCCCCCTGGGGAGTGATTTCTCGCTTTCTGTCTCTGTCTGTTTCTGTCTTTCTGGCGAGCACATGTGCCCTATAGCAAAAAAAAAAAAATCTCAAAAAAAAATTATCTGAGCTTTTATTCTATCTCCATGCCATAAAGCATTAACAACACCTGTAGATTCATAGGTCAGTTAATATAACTAAAGGTCACAAAGTCATGTTTAGTTGTGAATGTTTTAAATATGTCTAAGTATGTCTTATAACTCTAAAAAGTTGCTGTCAGGTTATTATATTTTTAAAGGTGTTCCTTCTATTTAGCAGTCAATTTTATGTGTCTATTTCCTTTTTGGAGTATGTGTCAGCAAACGCTACTCAGCTGGATTGATGTGTTCAGTTGCCTGTATTTCCCCAACTGCAAGATAGTAAAGAACACTGCTGGTGGCCATAAAACAGAATTACTTCATTTTTTAAATGTCTTGGTTAACCAGACATTTAAACAGTAGCTCATGTACTAATATAAAAGTGATATATTTGTGCAATGAAGTTTTCTTTTCTTTTCTTTTTTTTTTTTTTTAAATTGGGGACATTATCCTTATAGTTTGGTATCTGTAAAAGTAAGACCCTAATCTGCCACAGAACTGTGTGAGGATTTTATGTCATTCTTTTTCCCTTTCCCACTCTAAACATTAAATGAGCAGACCTCATTTTATCAGTGGATGGGGCAAAAAGGTAGGACCTTGAGATGATGTAAACTTTATAATGATGAACTTGAGTATTTTGTTAATGTTCAAACATCCTATGAAAGTGTGCTACTTGATATAACCATTACATTTTCTAAGTATTGAGTATTTTCCCTTAATTCATGTTCAAAGTAGTCTGTGCTTGGACATTTCAGTTTTTAGGAGAAATTACAAGTGCTTGGAGCGATTCAGATATTTATGTATTTTCACTGTCCAGAGGGTGCATGTTCTTGCCAGAGAGAGACAGATGGAGAGGGAAAAAGCATCCTCTAGTGGGCCATAGTCATACCAGAATCCCTTCTCCTCCTTTCTCCATCTTGTCGGGATTTGGGGCATGTACACACATGTGTTCGTTATGCCTTTTGGTCTCAAGCCATGCAGTTGACCATGTGGGAACCAGCTCCCTTAACTACCAGGCCATGGGTTGACCCTCTATTCTGATTTTTAATGCTGGTATGTGTTTAGTGGTTTCTTTAAAATTGTATGTGTACAAACAAATAACTATATAATCTCTTCTTCAGAAATCTTAAAACGAAATCTATCCTGACTTTAATGTTTCGCTATAGAAACAAAGTTGTCAGATCAAATTTCTAGCTGTTTACTCTGTCAGTCAATATCACCAGTCCTGTTGTGGGCCTTGAGTTGATGTCATTTCCTGCCCTCCTGGCTTCTCTTGCTAGTGGTAAGAATCAATAGGTGAGTGTTTTCCAGAAGAGATGGAATAATGAACTTGACCTTAGCTTCTTTTCTCTCAGATTCTGTTATACAGAACACGTACATCCCTTGGAGTTTTCTTTTTTTCTCTGTGTAAGTTCTCTTGTATCACAATCCTGTTGTAATTCATCACATTTTCTTTTAGAAACATCAGGCATTTAGTAAATTAACTGAATTATTTTAAAAACTATACCTTCAATGAAAATATTTTAAAAACTATGACAAAAACATGGATCCTTGTGTTGGCATGTTTTCATATAAGAATAACTGTTCTTTTTTCTGAAATTGTGAGTCCAACCCTAATTTAAAATGCCATTTGATTTTAGGCCTTTGTATATAAGAATATTTTTCTTGAATGTTTTTATCTTTTGGATTTTACTTTGTAAAACTTAGTTTCTCTATTTTCCTACTCGGTACTTTACTTTCTGTGTCTTGTATTAGTTTCAGATCATAAATCTTGTATGGGTTGTAAGCTTGTTTCTCAAAATTATGTATTTTCAGTTTTTCTTTTATCTTTTTTTAAAGAAATTTTTAAATTTAACTCTATTTATTTTTAAAAATGGGGGGGGGGAGAGAAAGAGAGAGCGAGCGAGCGCAAGCCACCAGGTCTGGGACTTGTTCAAAATTATTTATGTATTTTCAGTTTTTCTTTTGTCTTTTTTTAAAGAAATTTTAAAATTTAACTTTATTTTTAAAAATGGGGGGGGGGGAAGAGAAAGAGAGAGTGAGCGAGCGCAAGCCACCAGGTCTGGGACTTGAACCACGGTTGGCCATGTGGGAGTCTAGCGTTCTTAACCACCTTGCCACCTGCGACCCCATCTTTTGTCTCTCTTTTAAACATCATTTTCACATTTTTCTGAGGCAATTCAAATTGGTATTTGGGAATATTTTATTTGTGGAAGCAGAGGTTTTCTATTTATATACTATGGCATACTTTTTGAAATAGGATTTTCGCTTCGGATCTGATCAGGTATTACTTTTTAAGCAATAGGATCCTTGGCATGCTATTGTGTCAGAAGATGGCTACACTTCTCTTGTTATAGGAACTTGAAATGATTCCGTTCAGGGGTGATACGAGTTGTGAGTGGGTTAACCAAGTTCTGTGGTCTGGAAATCTCTATCGTCAGGAAGGCACACAGACAGTCAGAGGAAGGGGGCCCTATGCAGGCATTCTCCCTGCTCCTTTCTCTGCAGATCCAAGAGCTCTGTACTTTTGGGTTTAATTCTACTAATGTCTCCAGATTGAGATTTGGGCTTTCAGCTTTTTAGAAATTTATAGTCCTGCTCACCTCTATGTAGTTTTTAGATCTCAAATCTTGCATAGGCCCTAGTCTCATTCTCCTAAAATTGTCTTTGTTCATTGTCTGTTTTCAATATCAGTCACATCTACTTTTAGGAATCTTGGTGTATTTTAATTTCAGAGGCTGAACTAATATTGACAAAGAGCAAATATAGGGACTGGCAGGTGGCATGGTGTTTGGGCGCTGGACTCCCACATGGTTGACTGCCCTTTGAGTCCCCAACCTGGCAGCTTGCTTTCTCTCAGTCTTTCTTTGTATGTCTCTCTCTGGTCTAATTGAAAATAATATTAGCAAATAAAATAAATACTTCTTAAAAAATGGTATAATATCCTTGATTAGACTTGATTAGATAGTTAACCCTTAGTTGATCCAGCATTTTTACTTTTTTGTTTCCAGGTCAGAGTAGGTAGTTCTAATCAACAGTAAATTTAATCTGTTGTGTTGTCTGAAAAGTCACGGCATAGTTTTTCTTTTGTTCTATGCAAAAACGTGTCATGACTTTTCTGAATAGAACATAGTGGTGTGGCTAATGATCATTCACTCAGCTTCATTTTCTTTGGCCTCTCTATTTACTTTCTAAAATCTTCAGTAGAAGGAGCACCTTGGTGAAAGCAAGGGAAAGAAGAAGCTGGGATAGTGATTTATATTGTCGTGACTTTTAATGCCACTCATCATTGAGGGAGATTTATGAGCATGAAGGTATCCTTCAGTCTACAAACATGAAAGCCAGGTATCATTCAATTCAGTAAACATTCGGTTTAACCATGTGCCACTTATTCTGTTAGATGATTTTTTTATTATTATTATTATTATTAGATTTTTGCTATAGGATGTGTTCTCTCGCCAGAGAGACAGAAAGTGAGAAATCCTCTCCTGCCCTCGGGGTGGATGGCCATGTCGCAATCCCTTCTCCATTCTCTTTGTGATTTTGGGCATTTATGTACATGCACCTGGCATGAATTTTAAGCCACCAGATCCAGGACTTGAATCGCTGTCAGGCATGTGGGAGTCCAGCAACATAATCATTGTGTCATCTGCTGATCCCTAGATGATGTTTGTTAACACATGTACTTTTACACTTATCAAATAGGTCCAATTTTCTGTTTAGAATATATGACCCTTTCTCTGCCCTTTTAAAGATCTAATACTCCAGTGATTCAGAGGAAAGAACTGGTCATTGATTTCAATTACTTGAATACAAAATCTTGCCTAACTCTGGGATTTATAAAACTTAGATTTTTATTTTTTCTGGAGAATTTCTTTAGAACTCTACTTTGCAAGAAACTAATTTATCCACTTTCTAAAGTGGCCTTATGTTTCTCCAGCAAGAAAATCAGCAAAAGAGCTCTCAAAGAATCTGCCAATGAAACTGAAAAGTATCTACCATTGTCACTAGTGATAAATCAAACTGATGTTAAAGATGCAAATAGCCTTTCCAGAATACTCTTCTCCTTTGCTAGGATTGTTTAAGTTAATTAAGCCAGTAACGTACTTCATTATCTATTATGCTTTAAATTCACCATGTGAATTTCAAGTTTTTCTGTTTTATAATAGAAAGTTTCTATAAAATAAATATATAACATTTTCTATAAATAAAAGCACATTTACATCTTTATATCAATTATATCTTAAATCCACGTATTTAATTGCTGTTAATACTATTAGTAGGGGAAATATATTGATTATGCCACAGTTTAGTTTCTATTTTTGTGAGATTTACAAAGCTAAGAAATTTTAAATGTTTGAAACTACTGCATGCAGGGTTACTTTTGTCCATCTTTTTGAGAAAGAGATTAAAACAATATATAAGGCATTTATATTAAACTGTCAGGAATTTAATTACATTCAAGTTAGCATTAGAGTTTTGAATGTACTCTATTAGCTAAAATTAAAAAGCTGTTATAAATTACTGATACAATTGGTTTTTTTTTTTTATTTGCAGCATTTAAATATTAGGACACTGACAGACGATATGGTAAGGTTATCTTGAACATTTTTCTTTGTTGTGCATTTTAACTAACCATGTAATGTTGAGGTGTGCTGTGCTAACACCTTTGAAATTGCTTAAAAACTGCTTGTATTAGAAATGCTCTATTTTTATAGAGCTAAAGTAAGAAACAGAAGTCATTAAGTGGTAGCTTTTAAGTTGTAAAACGGAATAGTCAGTATGTTAATGTAAAAATTTGTTTACTTACAAATTGTTAGTCAATTTTGAATCATTCAAATAAATGCTCATTCTCTGGGAATGAATTGCATACTTCAGAGAGGGGTAGAAAAAATTGCTTAAGATATGTCAGCTTTTCAAAAATATATAGTTGCTAATTAAAGTAAGCCCCCTACTATATCATGCATATATTTTTTAAAAATGCTTAAAAATGAGAGACCCAGGTGTGCCTTACTATATTTTCTTCCTGTTGAAAGTAATTGGGTTTCTTTTAAGTAGTTAACACTTCATTAGCACCACTACAGATTCTTGGATATTCAAGTTCCCCCTGCCCCCATGTGTTTTTGAATAATGGCAAAGGAATAATGAGAAAACCCAAATTAACAATAACTCTAAAATTATGTTAGTACCATATAAAGAAAAAGTATGGTATACTACTGACCAGGTTTTGAATTCAATTTCACCATATAGCAAGCACAAGGCAGAGTTTCTAGAACACAGTACTCAAAAAATGTTTCACCTCTGATATCTACACTACCATTGTAGGTACCAGGTAAGGTGGACACATAAAGATGAATGAGACAGAGCACGAGTGATATCGAAAATCTTATTCTTCTGGATAATGTCTAAGAACAATATACTTGTATAAAATTTCCTGGATAACATTTTTCATGTGTGAGTATTTAGAAAATGGTAGCTATATGGAGCAGTTTTGTGGATTCTAGGAGTTTCTTCTCACATTGCAAGGTTGATGTTTCATTATTTTACCACTGAGGACAAAGGCTCAGACAGGTTAAGTATGTAGTTTACCTAAGTATGCCCAGTTGGCAAATAATGCAGCCATAGTTTGACTCTTGTACCATATTGCTTAAAATCCGTCACTTTACTCAGTGTTTATATGGCTTCTTAAGGCTGATATAAACTGTCTGTGGGAGTGGATGGTGGCTGCAAGGCTGATCCGCATGGGAGGCTTTCAGGTACACACCCAGAGACCTCTTTGAGTGCTCTGGGCATGTGTGTGCCCGTAATCTGGGGCTGGCTGAAGTTGGAAGTGGACTGTGGTATCAGGACCCTGGTGGGGGTGTTGT